CCTCTTTTTCGTCCATTATAGCAAAGCTCAAGTTAAACTAGTCGATTTGAAGTGATAGTGAGATTCGGGCTGGCCAATCGGAGCGCAGTTGTCACCGTAATGATATGGCAGAATAGATTTTCAAACAAATTAAATGACATTTCGTCTCTATTTCGGGTTGTATACTCGATGGGGCCCACTAAGCAAAAAAAAGTGAATTATCATTACGTTGGCGGTGTTATGAAAATTTGTTATTTGCGTTGAAAATTGTTTACGATAAAAAGGACTTCGAGATCGCCGGTCACCCCCAGCATCCCTCTAAACTCAAAGGGCATGACAGTAACTGGAACACTTATAGACATTTGAACTTGTTTAACCGCACCAGCAACCAAAATGAATGTCCCTTTTGATGGATCACAAGGTTGACAACTTTTAATTGTGCTCTCATTGTTCCGATTGTGTCCTTTGATCTCATGCTCTGCTGGCCTTACTAAAGTTCCTATAAGGGCTCAACTATTTTCTGAGTAATTGCCCTTGTATGTAGCCGTTTTAATACGTCGGGTGTTTGGAGCCCTCTTAGTATAATGCCTACCCCTTGGTATTAATTACTAATGTGCTCGTGTAACCTCGCGTACCAAGTTAATCCGTAACGCTAATTGGCGTACGTAGCTTTTGCTACTTTTTTAGATATACCATAGGCAAATACATATAGAAATTTATTATAAATTTTTTAATACAGTGTTTTATACCACCACGGTTGTGAGATAACATCAAACATTTTAATATATAAAGAAAATACCTTGACCGATCAATTCGTTGGTCTGGTGGTAAGCGACACGCCTGTCCATAACAGTTGCAGTGCCACTGAGAGCTTTAAAACGAGAAGAACTTTAATACGTTGACAAGTCCCATGTGTCTGTAATTAACGCAGCAACGCTCATATTACTGCTGGCGGCAGAAACAGGTAAAGGCGGCAGTACTTTCCTGGACGAACTCGAGATGTTTAAAAAAATTTTGCTTCAATCTTTTATGTCTTTTCTTTTCGATGTATTTTTTATTATACCTAGTGACGGCACGACCCAGTCGAGCGCCTGGTGGTAGGCGGTATTTTGCTTATGGTTTATGTGACGATAAGTTTTTAACACAAGCGCTCAAAAGTACTTTGTACGTGTACTTCTAGCAAGCAGCGGCATGTAAAGCCATTAATCAGACTCTGTGATGTCATGGGAGTGAGATAACCCAAAATGGGTAGTAAATTTTCATGAAAGATACCTCCCCTATGCGAATAAATTAGGTAGAAAAGAAGCTTTTACTGCTCACGAGAAACGGGGAACATAATATTGTCAATGATGTTGCAACCCCTTGTGCATATTATTATATACTTTACCAACCTGTACTACAATGACTTAACTACCTCAGTGGCCGAACGGTTACCATGCTGGACTGCCACGCAGAGATCCCGGGTTCGATTCCCGGGCAAGGAAAAATATTTGTACGGCCTACATTTATTTCTCTCGTGAGTTTAGGTGTAATATGTGTGTGTCCATACCACCCGCGATACAGGGTTTCCCTACGTGTACGTGTAGTACGTGGCTATGAGTGTGTGCGCGTTGTTATTGTTGTTGTTGTTGTTATTATTAATGATGTCCGTGTTGATATTACGTTTGATTTTGGAGTTGACTATTTATCTATCTATTATAATTTCATAAACCATATCACCAAGACGTTCCTTTTAGTTCTGATTTAAAATTCTATTGTCTGTGATACTAGTTGCCGAACTGGAAAATTTCATTATATTACTGTTTTTTACGGCATAAGCTGTGTAAATTGATAATCTAAGTACAGAGTACTAAAAAACCGACCTCAAAAGTGTGTGGAATTGCATATAATTACCAAGTTTTATTGAAATTGATTACCGGAAAGTGCGCAAACCCGGATTCATCCCCTAGTTCGCCACTATACGGGATTTGACACAGGAGCCTTGAATTGGAGAATAGCAAAATCAACCATTAAAATAATTGCTCCTTATAATAAAATTTTGGCGCTATTTATAAAAATTAATCTTCATGCGTGAACAGCCACCCTTAGAGGTGGATGATTTCTTCAAAATTAAATGGGACCACTATGGAAGTACTCTCTTTCTAACAAAAAAAGAATTATGGAAATCGGTTCACAAATACCGGAGTTATCGCCTAACATACATTAAAAACAGTCGATTTGAGAACATCATCCTTTTTTTGAAGTCGGTTAAAAATAATTTACAGTCGCAATCATTCACTTACAATTATATGGACGTCGGGACCGCGCTAAAAAGTGTCCGAATTTATAGGGCGTTAAAATCGTATACAGAGCGTCATTGACGCTTTAGTCTTCGTTTGTTCGACTGACAGCGAAGTAAGCAATATTAGACAGTACTGCGATGACATTACAATTTAAATTCAACGTTTTAGCTTTTTCATATTCCTTTACATGTCACTACGTTTAAATAGGTAGACTTGGGACATTTTTTTCGTGGTTTTTGTATTAGACCCGTCGTCCATTTATTTGTAAGTCAATAGTCGCAATGGACTGTTCCTGTTATGTACGTTTCGTATGTAAGTAAATGTGACTTGTGTATTTGTGATTGTTACTTGTCATATAAAAATGAACCCTAAACAGTATCTGTTTACTTTTCACATTGCTCTTCCAGGTCGTGATACTCGCCTATGCGAACTAATATTACAAATGCGAAAGTGTACAATTTTGGTGAATTTTATAGCATAGTAGAATTTTTTAAGTTACTGCTCGTTCACTGTGCCGACCTACCTGACATGAACGAGCAACAAACTCTAGGGACTGCTCTTGTCAAATAAATTTAAATAAATAAATGCTGTGAAATACACTTTGAATCATTGACTTACAAATAAATGGACGACGGGTCTAATACAAAAACCACGAAAAAAATGTCCCAAGTCCCATTTAAACGTAGTGACATGTAAAGAAATATGAAAAAGCTAAAACGTTGCATTTAAATTGTAATGTCATCGCAGTACTGTCTAATTTTGCTTGCTTCGCTGTCAGTCGAACAAATGAAGACTAAAGCGTGAATGACGCTCTGTATACGATTTTAACGCCCTATAAGCTCGGACACTTTTTAGCGCGGACCCGACGTCCATATAATTGTAAGTCAATGCTTTGAATCATATTTGTGTGGAATATAGAGTCATGTCGTGTTTTCATACATCTTTATCTAATACATACTCTTCAATTGTGTAATATGACTTTTCAATTAAAATACTTTTAATGTAAGTTTTAAAGTTAAGAAATAATAATCGTAATATAGGCACCGGGATTTTATTGTAAAAACGTACCTATACAGTTCCAAATAAAATTATCGTTTAGCTTAGTTAAACGAAATTGTGGTACCATAACTTTGGACCTATTTCTAAGATTAATATTATGGACATCTTCTTTCTTAACGAAATTATGTATCTTTGAAAGGGCATACAAAATATTTGAGTAAATGTACTGTGATGCCACAGTCATGATACCAGTCTCCTTAAACTTTTCTCCAAAAGAAACCCGATAACCTAAACGGTACACAGAACGAGTCGTTCGTTTTTGCAACACAAATATGGTTTGTATATCTGCAGATATGTATAGATGCTACACGTCGTCGGCGCCTCTAAAATACTCCAAGGTTTATATATGAATGAACTCAAAATGTCCAATCCAGTGACATGTCCAATTCACCCTTTCGATCTGGTTTTCCGTAATAAAATAAAAAGCATTGAGAAAAACGTATTTAACTTAAATATCGTACAAACAATAGGTACTCCGGAAGGGCATCGTGTCCCGTTAATGCGTGTAGACAGGTGGTTCAACGGTAACACAAACTCCTATTTCCCCTAGCCGTGAAACGCGAGGAAAATGTGTGGAAAATGCGGGTAAATATGACACAGAATTGTGCAAACATAAATGTCACACGTTTCCTTTCCCGTTTGGCTATCAAATGAAATTAATACTTGTGTTTTGTTTGTAGTGGTTCTGATGCTTCTTTTAGTTACCGCACATAGGTGTCCGGGGCGACGATCTCAGTCTTTTATCGTGACAGTTTTTCATAGTATATTAAAAAAAAAATCGTAATGCGCCGATGCCTCATTGCCCTAATGCCGCGTGCTTCATAATTAGGTTTATTCGTTTAAGTAATTTAAAGCTACCTACCTCCTCACAGACTCCAGCTGAAAAACCAGCGCTGAGGCTGAGCATATAACTGAGCTGGCTAGACTTTTCGTTTATTATTGTGTGACGCTTTTAAATCAATTGCGTTGTGTTCTAATCTTATAGTCATAGTTATCATTTCAGCCTAAAGACGTCCACTGCTGAACATAGACCTCCCCGAAGGAATGCCACAACGACCCGTTCCGCGCCGCTTGCATCCAGCACATTACCGCAGCCTTCATCATATCATCAGCCTTGTGGGTGGTTTGCCCACGCCATGTGTGGCCTCTTCGGCCCCATCGGCCATCTGTTCTGCGATCAATATGCCCATTACCACTTAAGTTTTGCAATTAATAGGGCTATGTCAGTTTCTCTGGTTCCCAAGCGGATATCCTCAGTACTGGGACGCAACGAAACTCCGAGCATAGCCCTTTCCGTTGCCCTTTGAGTGACCTTGAGCTTTCTAATGATGTCCATAGTGAGCGACGACCTCTCAGTGCCATAAGTCATCACTGGCATCACACTGGTCGAAGACTTTTGTCTTGAGACACTGTGGTATTTTGGACAAGAAGATATGGCGTAATTTCCCGACCGCTATACAAACGAGTCGGTTTAGACGATGAACCTCTTTCTAATGTTATAGTAAGTCATAATTAACTGTGATTCTACACGTTACCGCAGTCACTCTATGTTTGTTTTTTAAACAAACCAATGTTTCGGGCTCTTTACAGGATGGTTTGTTTGAAAAAATAGTTTTGTTTCCTATGTCTAACAATCGCGGAAACCTAAAAACTCTATACAATGATAGAGATGTTACTCACCTGCGCATTTGGATGCTCGCAGTGTGTCTGACAGCGCTGGTGTAGTGTAGCCCTTTCCGAGTCCGCCTGATAACTTTTCCGAGTCTGAAATAACATACTCATATTAAAATGTATTTCTAGTGTTCATGAATAATTTTCTTTACACGTGTGTTAAATACTTTGTATTCTTACTAGGTTTTAGTGTTACTAATCAACATATTTGAATAAATAAATTTTTCTTCAGTTTCTTATAATTTTAAACCAGACCGAATCTACGCAAATCCATGCTAATGTATAAGATCTCTCTTTCGTCAAAAACTGTCGGTACCTTTTGTGCTCTGCCTCCTGCCTTCAAATTGTATTGTTTTTATTCCAATGTAGAAAATAAGTTTCCACCAGCCCCCTACACTTAACAACGAGTGTACTGTATTTTAGGGTAATGTCGCTGAACTTAATAGAATCTTTGTCTTGCAGAAACGTGTTGTTAAGACAATTTCCAATCGGGTCTCCACATCGGGTATCTACTTTCGTAGCAGTAGAGCTCCTTGTTTGTCCAGAGAAGTAGTACCACCTTACCTATTTGTACCACTAATATAAATAATAATAACGCACACACTCGATATAGCCCCGCACTAGGGAAACCCTGTGTCACGGGTACCACGGACACACATAGACAACCACAAATTACACCCAAACTCACGAGAGAAATAAATGTAGGCCATAGAAATATTTCTCCCGGCCCGGGAATCGAACCTGGGACCTCTGCGTGGCAGTCCGGCATGGTAACCGTTCGGCCATGGAGGCAGTTAAACTAATTTTAAGTTAAGTTAAACTAATATAAATAGTAATGTTATTATATAATAAAAGGGTATTACTGAGTTCCGGTTTGAAGGGTTAGGGTGCTAGTGAAATTACAGGCCCATGGGACTTGTCAACTTGTGTCTCAGGGTGACAGGCGCAGTACTAGTGCCATAAAGATCTTTGCAGTGCTCTGAGTAGCACTGCAATTACTATTGATAGACGTGTCGTTTCACACCTGGCGCACGACTTGTTTGTTCCGTCATTTGATATTATAAAAAAAATATATATATATATTATGATATGGGTTTCTTAAAAAAGTCCTAAGTGCAGTAAACAAATTATATACCCTCAGTACAGAGTACTAAAAAACCGACCTCAAAAGTACCTACGTGGAATTACATTTATTTGCCAAGTTTTATAGAATTATTACCTAGTTCGCCGCTATACAGGACTTGACACAGGAGATGCTAAAAATCGGTTCTCACTACTCAAAGTATATTGAGAAAATGACATGAAATGCCTTGAATTGGCGAATAGCAAAACCAACCATTAAAATAATTGCTCCTTATAAAAGCTATGTATAAAAATTAATGTTCTTAAAGGTGGATGATTTTCTTCAAAATGAAATGGGACCACTGTGGAGGTACCCTCTTTCCAACAAAAAAAAAGAATCATGAAAATCCGTTCACAAATAACGGAGTTATCGCGTAACATACGAATTGAGAGCCTCCTCCTATTTTTGGAGGCGGTTAAAAAGTTAATTTAAAAAAGGCGTTATTTAACGAAATTCTGTTTTTGAAAAATGTATGAAATATGTTTTTAATGCTGTAAGTAAAGTTTATACTATAGCAAGCTTGTAAGTATATTATTATAATAATTATTAATACAAAAAAAGGAACACTCAGAAAAAATTCCTTCGATCCGGCCGGATTCGAACCGACGTCTTCCAGCATACCGTGTCAGACGCTATACTAACTAAGCCACGTAACGAACCAGCGGACCTCACGATATTTTCACGATAGTTTTTCAACGACTTTTTAGGCGTAGCGCCATCCAGTTAAACACCTTTACAGCTACCAGCCCCGGCTAGAGATGTCGCTATTAATTGTATTTAAATTTTATTGAATTTATATTCAATTATTTTTATTTTGTATAGCTTAGTTGGTATAGTGTCTGGCACGGTTGATTTTGAATTAAAAAGTAAGTGTTTTTTTCCATTCAGTTCTATTCCAGAAGTAGTAAATTATGCTTACCCTAAAAATAAAGGTGTTATGTATTATTTTTTTGAAGCTCGTATTATCCCTGACATTATTTAAGTATTGTGACCACAGACCACATAAATGTGATTGTGACATTCACTATATGAAATGGACGTAGTTAAGCAAAAATGCTCTAATTCACAAAATTATCAAAAAATTAGTTATGTGTACCAAACGGTTCCTAAAGTCTAACCTCTTAAATAAGAAAAAATCCAACATATAAACATAACTAAATATCTCATGACGTTACAAATTTTGTAAATAAAACAACAGTGAGAAATACTTTTAAACTTCAAACTGCCATATCTCGAAAGTAACTGAATGTACATTGGATCCTTTTTGTTTAACTACATTCTAATATAAGATTGCATTCTATTTTTCATAATGCTTGATAATAGAGCGTGCACAAAGAGCTGTACTGAAACTGAAGGTGGGATGGAATCTCCCTCGCCTATATTCTACTACAGACGTGTTCCTTATGTGCTGCGTATTGTACGTCAAATTTTCATACTGCATTGTGTTCGCTCAATCGCTTATTGAATATAAGCCCTTGCTATTGAGAGAAAAACGCCTCTTTGATGTTAACCCAAAATTTCAGGCTAAAGTCACTTTTACACAGAATTTTTTCTGTTTCCCGAGAGGTTACTTGTACAACTACATCAATTCAAGAATTTTAGTATACCATTTATGTATTCAAACTTGGACCATGACACTTGTGAAAATGTAAAGTTTTGAGATACCACCCCAAATACAAACTAAAAATAAATAAATACATTTATATTCAACGCATATGCGAGCACTCGCGAAAACACACACATACACACGCACATACACACACACCCAGAGAGAGAGAGAGAGATACACAATCGCACATACACGCACGGGACTCGTCACCATATTGTTTACTATAATAGCGTATTTACTTTTAATTACAAAAAAAAAACGAATTGTATAGGGTGGGAGTCTGGACATCTGTAACACAGGTCTGGTTACCTAGTATGAACTCCAGTCTCTCACTAAAGGTAGCTAACTTGTAGGTTAATTGAAATAATGACCAATCTGGAATTATGCAACCTTCCTTTTATGAGAGTGAATAAATAAATATCCCATCTTATAACGTGAAATGCATTAAAAGGAATATTTACTTGTAAACCGTCTAACCTTATTATCTATTTATTAAAATATGCCCCGGCATTTTTCTGATGGTCATGGCCAAATAATAAATCTAAAGGCAAGGGGAAGAGTACTATCATTACTGGTGTTTCTATCGCACAATTAACTTTGTATTGTCTGAGTGATGGTTCCCATGAAATGGCACCATAGCAAAACGCCGCTTTTGCTATGCGCGCACGCACTGTTGCCGCGCGTTCCCATTGTCAATATTGGGGAGCTAAAAATGATGTCACTGCGCGTAACGCGAGCTACCATTGCGCGTGATTTATATCTGGTACGCGTGAGTGGGTATAGATTGTGTAATAATTGTTTGTTTGCGTTAGGGGATGGGGGGATAGTCCTGTGAGAATTTCGAGTGCCGATTAGCTTATTGGCTTAGTTGTGGTGCTAATGCGCTGTGAGCTTTGTGTAATTGGCTGTGATGTTTATATTTAATCTCAAACGGAGGGAGGTAGCTTTATTTTCAATTAATTATTATTTTAACTTGTGAGTTAACAGTTAATAGGACCGTAGTTTGCGTTCAAGGACATTGGAAAAAGGGTTGCAAATACATATTTAGTTAAAAGTTAAAAAGATAACGGAATAGTGCGTGTCTGTTTAATAAGTGAATGATATTCTTCTTGATTATCATGTTTAGCTAGTGAATGATAGGCGATTGAATTTTTGTTAGGGCAAACGATAACGATATAGTGATCTTATAGGTCCTAGTTTTTCTAAATTATACACTTTAGTACTTCAAGAGAAATATATTAAGTAAGTAATGTGAAAACGTCACAACTTTAAAACTCATTTAGCATTTTCTCTAAAAGGTGAAGTTTTTGTTGGGTCCCTTCTATTCTAAAGGTGCTAAGTGTTAGCTAATTTTTAACCGACTTGAAAGAAGGAGAGAAAGGAGGAGTTCTCAATTCGACTGTATGTTTTTTTTTGTACGCGATAACTCCGGCGGCATTCGTGAACCGATTTTGATGATTAATTTTTTGTTGGAAAGAGGATCAGTAGGGTCCCATTTAAATTTGAATAAAATATTCCACTTCTAAGGGTGGCAAACTATCCGGTTTCGCGCACTTTCCGGTAACAGATTCTAATAAAACTTGGTAAATAGACGTAATTCCACAAACATTTTTGACACCGGTTTTTTAATACTCCGTACAGACATTATAAAATTACTTTTTTTGAATTTCGGTAGAACCAAGTATCAGTTAAAATATTTTAAACTATCATTTCCTAAGTTTAAAACCTACTTTAATTTTTTTTTAATTGAAAAGTCATGTTACCAAATTGAAGGCTACGTGCTAGTAGTATGTAAAATGTATGGAAAGACGACATGAGTCTATATTCCACACAAATGTGATTCAAATTGTATTTCTTAGCATTTAAAGGTCCTTTGAAAAGAGCAACCCCTAGAGTTTCTTGCTCGTTCTTCTCAGGGAAGTTAGCATAGTGAACGAGCAGTAGCTTAAAACTGACGTTTTCAAGCATTGACTTACAAATAAATGGATGTCGGGTCTAATACAAAAATCACGAAAAAAATGTCCCAAGTCAACCTATTTAAACGTAGTGACCTGTAAAGGAATATGAAAAAGCTAAAACGTTGCATTTAAATTGTAATGTCATCGCAGTACTGTCTAATTTTGATTGCTTCGCTGTCAGTCGAACAAATGAAGACTAAAGCGCCCTATAACGCCCTATAAGTTCGGACACTTTTTAGCGCGGACCCGACGTCCATATAATGGTAAGTCAATGTTTTCAAGTGTAAATTTATTCTACCTATAGAATATATGATTCTTTGACCTAGACTCCCTTTGGTTATCACGGCTTCATAGTTTATCTGGGATATACTCCTCCTGACCTCTGTACGATCAGGCAAATAGG